TCATGGTTCTCATTTAGTGAAAGTTCTATCGTGTCAAATTTTAAGGCACCCATGATTTTAAAACCTCAGAATTGGAAAACCTTTTATGTATAATTTACAAGCTAGTATTTGGAGTGCTAAAGACATAACAAGATGATGCAAATGCATGCAGCTCTGTTTCTTTAACACAATCCCAATAGCTTCTATTCATGTTTCAAATTTCATTGTTCCCTGGGTCTGAAATTTTGGGCCATCTGGTTGACACAAACCAAAGGATTTAAATATCTATCCGTTATTCTGAATGTAGTGACTGATTGTGAAGATGCAAAGTTCTGTTGAGCACCTGAGCAGTCTTTTCAAAAACATGCTTCCTTGTCTCATGCAAAGTGATAATAAATTTAGGAACCTTAAAACAAAGATATTGACTCATAATTTGACTGGAACAGAAGAAGTAGTTGGGAAAAAGGACTATGTACTGATCAAGTCACGTTTTGTTTAATACATACATGTATGCACTTTTCTTTGGTGGCATTGTGGGTCTAAACTCTGCTGAGCACATGATAGGAAAGCAAGCATCTGAATGAAGTGTGGCATCATCAGCACAGAGGTCTAACAGTAAAAGCTGCACCAATAGAGGGCACAAGGCAATGAAGGCTCCTGTATATACATGTAGTAGGTATCCTTCGTGAAAGATACAGATAAATGTGTTCTCCATGTTAGCTCTGAGCATTGGAAATAAACATACGGTAACTGCAGTTTCATGTACGTGTACATGTAGATATCAGGCACGGTTACCCATGATATACATGTACAGCAATGGTTGTAAATTTAAGAAAATTTGGGTAAAATAATAAGAACTTTCATTTTCAACCAGAAGCAAAGGTCAGGTGATTTTAAGCACACAAAAATTTACTTGGCAACTGTCCACAAAAAGCAAGCAGAAAGGTACACGTATGTCATGATTGATTTTTATCAAAGATTATTAAAATAGCCAAATTTAAACCCTTGTAATCTGACACCTGGTGACATCATCATGATGTCAATCTTGTAGTCCCACCTGAGGATTATGGTTCATGTTCATACCAACTGCCAATTTCATGTATTCTACCAGGCCTTAGCTTAAATTCTAGAAATTTAAGCTCTTGTGGGCTTGTAAAATGCCTTCACTAGCTTAACTTTCTTAGGTGAAATACCTTCCTGTTTGAAATGAATGAAACAAAATATCATTTGTAATTGTACATGTACATGTTTATTAAAACATGCCATGAGCTTGCACTTGTACATGTATGTTAAGTAACCATGCATGTACAGTACAAATGTACATTGTACCATGATTAGGGGTGTACACTGGTAACACAAGGGCAAGCCACTTTCACACAGCTTGGCGTTTGATTGTGTGGTACTCTCAATCTCAAGTGGAAGATATTTTGACAACTCTTTTTCCCAATGCTGGGCTGGGATTGTTCATGTATACTGTAGGTGTGGTAGACCACCAACTTGAATGTCCATGTACATAACAAAAACTATGCACCTTTCCTAATTACCTTGGCTTTGATACAGGTTCTTGCCTGAATTTGATGTCATAAATGGTGGTTCAACTTCATGCCACAATTTTTGGCCCAACCTACGTCAGGGTGGGCTCTAATTCCTGCAAACTCCAATATAAACACAAAAATATGACACCATGGCAAGTACTGGCACTGCATAGTATGAACAAGTTGGACCCGAGGTCAAATATGGTCTGAATGTGAATGGTATAGATTGTACCAAGTGTTTGCTGGCATTTTGTCATGAGTAAGATTTTAATGTTTTCTCAGTGGTACAGTCCATCATGTGCACTTATCCAAAAATCAAATGCCAAAGTTTTTGTAAAGCAGTTGGTTTAAAGATCGTTGCAGGACTAAAATTCCTGCAAAATTATTCTTTCAGGCAAGCTGTCATGTTGAAGACAACACTAAATGAGGCCATTTCTAACAACGTGTCTTAATACACTTATTTGGAAAAATCCATTACCGGTAGAAGGGCATGCAAGTGCTGACATACGCATTTACAATTATTTGTTGTTTCAGTGTTGTTGACATTGCATAGCTGCGTTTGAGTGAATGCGAGAATTTGTCCCAGATGCTAATGTACCAGTAATTCAGGCGTGGCTCAGCAACTTTTGATCTGAAATCCTTGAAAATTGTTAATCTCGGAATGTACATTATTCACTGAACTAGAACTTCATCAGGTTTCCTCTTAGACACACGTCTTTTGATTTTGAGAAATTTTGTTACCTCAAAGGAACATTATGCCTAAATGACAAATGATAGACTATACCTTTAACTACTCTGCGCCGCTGGCAGTTATCAATGTTGATGATGCTGGAGTGGGATAATTATCATTAGCTGTTTCGGCAAAATGTTTTCTTCCACTAGTTGACTTTGGTAGTTTTATATATCTGATTGACTTCAAACTTGGCAGACCTTTAGACAATCATCCAAGGCTGGTCCAAAAAGAAATTTGTGATGATAACGTCATCATGTGATTTCTTTTTGAATTTTGAATATTTAATTTTTTGCCATTCACTTTTTACACGTATTCAAGCCAGGATTTTGAAACCTTCCTGATGGTTAATTGCTATCAAAGTGATAGCCAACAAAGACCCTCTTCCAAGAATTGTTCTAAAGAAATGACATCATGATGACATCATCATGTGATGTAGTATTGATTTTTCAATATTTATTTCAGCCCATTGACTTTGTACACGTTTTCATGCCAGCATTTGGGCAAATATCAGAGGTTTGATCAACATCAAAGTTACACACAACAGAGACCCTCATGAAAGAATGACATTATCACCAAACAGAAACTTCCGAAGCAGCTCAGTGGTTGTTCACAACCACGTTCCTGTATTTTTTTTTTTTCCTTATTCAGACTTTTTCCCCACAGAGTTTGTTTACGTTTTCTTCCACTAGTTGACTTTGACAGTTTACTAAATCTGATCGACTTCAAACTTGGTAGACCTTTGGGCAATCATAAAGTCCTAAAAGGAAATTGTGATAAAGACATCATCACGTGATTTCTTTTTGAATTTTAAATATTAATTTATTTTTTCCCCATGACTTTGTACACATTTTCAAGCCACTATTTTCAAACCTTCACAATGTTTGATCTCTATCAAAGTGATAGCCAACAAAGACCCTCATGCAAGAATTATTCTCAAGAAAGGACATCGCGATAACGTCATTATGTGATTTAGCGTTGAATTTTCAATATTTATTTCAGCCCATTGACTTTGTACATGTTTTCAAGGCACAATTTTTGTAACTTTCCGATGTTTGATCATTGTCAAAGTGACAGCCAACAAAGACTCTGATACAAGAATTATTGTAAGAAAATTATGTCTGGGTGACGTCATCATGTGATTTACTATTTATTTTTCAACATTTATTTCAACCCCATGACTTTGTACACATTTTCAAGCCAGCATTTCCCAATTTCCAGAGGTTTGATCAACTTCAAAGTTACAGACAACAAAGACCCTGATGAAAGAATTTTGCTAAATTTATGACGTCATGATGATGTCATCACATATGTTGAAATGGATTTTTTTAATCTTCCCCATGGGTTTTGTACACATTTTCAACAGCCTATCTTTGGTACTTTGGTAAATATGAATTATTTCTTTCAATGTACACTTGAAGTCCCTAATGGAGAGAGGCTCCCCAAAAAGAATTGTCAAAATTACTTGATAAAGGGTCACGTGGCACGAGATTAAAGCTGCAAGTTTTCCCGTAGGTTTTGTACACGTTTTTCTGCTGTGCAAAATTATCGATCTTGATGAGATTAGCCCTGAACTTCGGCTGAGAATTGCTATGAGAACAAAAAAAAAAAACAGAAAATTTTTTTTTTTTCGTCTTCATTTGATTACATGTATACCCAAGAGTCTGAATATCAAATAATATTTCAGAATTATCTTTCAGTTTAAAGGCAAATCACATGACATCATAAACGAGCAGCTTTTTTGCATAGGTGTTTTCAGTCAATTGACTTTGTACACATTTTCAAGCCACTATTTTGAAACCTTCGAGATGTTTGATCGCTATGAAAGTGATATCGAACAAAGACCCTCATGCAAGACTTCTTCAAAAGAAATGACCTCATGACGACTTCATCATGTGATATACTAGTGATTTTGAATATTTATTTCAGCCCATTGACTTCGTACACATTTTCAAGCCATCATTTGGGCAATTACCATAGGTTTGATCAACATCACACTTACACGCAACAGACCCTCATGAAAGAATTTTCCTAAAGTTATGACGTCATGATGATGTCATCATCAAACAGAAAGTTCCGAAACAGCGCAGTTGTTGTTCACAACCACGTTCCTCTAGTTTTTTCTGTTTTCAAAATTCTTTAAAAATTCCTATCTTCATTTACTGGACACTTACACCCACATGAAGGACTGTCTGGTCTTTAATCCAATAGACAACATCTGTTGATGCTGGAGTATTTCAGCCAGGCCTGCCGCCTTATAAAAAGAGCCCATCAAAGTTCATGAAACTGGTAGAGTGCGCTGCTGACCTCTTTTCAATAGGGGCCAGATTAGCGTGCAGTGGTACTGTGTGGCTCATTGGTGCAGTAGTGGAGCGCTTTTGTCCCCGGTGGTAATATGCTCGCGCTAAATCCCCAAAATCGTGGTGTACTGTTTCAAAACAAGGCTGGATTATCTCCACTATTGATAGTGAAAAAATGTTGGTAATGCCCAGTAACCTGATCTTTTGTTATGAGTATAGTCTTTTGTTACAAGGCCCAGTTCCCTTTGTCCGATTTTGGAGACCCAGCCACGTGTATAAAGAATATCTGTCTGGGACCGGAAACCCCGGCAGCAAGTGGTTAACTATCAAGTCAGTGTTAAAAATATATGGGAAATTTGGGAGGCAAGGGGAGTGGTTGGTATACCCAATATGTCAAAAGACACTGCTGAAGTTAAGACCCATAATTTAGAAATTGTTTCTTCTGTATTTGTTAAGGTTATGGAAAGAGTCTTTGTTACCAGTTCCCTGCAGTGTTCACTGGGGGCACCAGCCTAGTTATCTCACCTCTCATATCACTCATGGAAGACCAGGTACTAGCTCTCAGGTATGAAACACTTGTTCTTCCTCTTTTGTCGGTCTCTTTCTGTTCTAATAGAAGACAAGTTTTGTATGAAATGAGTCAAGAATTTTACTGTTTATTTATTTTACGTTGATTTTCCTTAGCACAGTGGTTAGAAACCCTACCTGACCCAGACATGAGTAAATACTAACAAATTATTTTCACTCACATCAATTAAAACAATTTAGCAAGTCTTTAGAACTTATTTAGAATCCTCACAGATTTTCAATTTGGCTACAGAAAGACATATTTACAATGGATGCATTGGCAAAAGTGCAATATTATTGATCTCCATGAATGATGGCGTCCTCTATTGACAGTTATTTAAAATTTCTGCAAAGAGCACGCACGCACCCTGTGGTTACCGCAATTTTTAAAAGTTCTGTGATCATTTTAAAGGGCTAATCACCTCAAGTTGGAAGTGAGATCATTATGCATTTGTATTTCATTGCAACATACACATGTAGCAGGATAGGAAGGGGGAAATGAAAAAAAGAAATCATGTGACTTCATTTTTCACTAATGTTCTTTGAATTTATTGAATTTTTAAAATAAAATGACAATGATTTTATTTCTTTATTTGAGAGGAATTATTTCAATAGCAAGTTCCGCACTTGGTCTGGGTCCCTCTTTCTTTTAGCATTTTAGTGATTAAAAGCATGAAGCTATCTAAAAAACTGAACAAGTTGCCTTTTCCCAGTGACTCTCTTGTTTTTCAGTTCTTCTTAAAGAAGCAATATTCATTGGGTGACTGTTCTCTCAGTGCGTTTTGAACCTGCAAGGTCAGGGTTTGGAATTATGTATGTATTCTGCTGGTGATCTCAATGAAATTAGCCTCTTTTGTTCAACCCATGATTTTCTTATCAAGCTTCTTTTTTTTCAATTATCTTCCAGTTCAAGTTGAAATAGACCATGTTTCTGTCCATGGAGGTGCCTGTAGTGTACTGCCTCCATTTTCTGTCATGATTTTTCTGCAAAAAACCAAAATTTTAGTTTTTGGTATTATTTATCTATTCGAGGTCTTTGTCAAAAGTTTTAATCAACATTTCTATGGAAATAAAACGACACAAAATGTGTTTAAATATTTGACAATCAAAGAGATGAGTTCCAAATCACATATCCTATTTGGCCAATTGCTAGGCAGTTTGAGAAACTGCCTAATCTGCTGTTCCCGGCCATGACACAATACCAAGTCCGATATAAGCTATCAGCAGGTACATGTACAGTAGAAATGTCATCGTTTGGCTCATTTACATGACAACTAGTGTAAAAAAATAGCTCTTCACCCTGCAGCGTTTGTTGGGATAGACAATCGACATTAGCCCTGACAAAAGGCAACATTTCTTTCAATTACTTTTCAGTTTAAATTCCACCTAAGCTGTGTTATAAAATTACACATGTACGACTAACCTTTGCACACAAAGTCCACACATTTACAACAATTATATCAGCTGAAAGAGTGTCTAACAAGCTATAAAATGATGCAAAAGTTTCTCTCTTGTTTTTGAAAAGCAGGGTTTTTATTGGCATTTTTTTTGACAATTATAAGTCTACCTTTCTTTAAAAAAGCACAGCTCCATAGTGCGTACTTCAGTAGAATATACGGTTATACGGTAAAACTATTAAACAAAATAACTTTTGGCGAACGTTATCTCATTAGATACTAGTACTTAATTGATAAAAAGCATAATATCGAGGGGAAAAAAATTATGAAAGGTCTTAAACCACAGTGCTGAGGTTTATTTTGTTACACTTTTATATTCAAAATTAAATTCTTTAGACTGGTTACTCATTTTGTGCTTACTATGAATATACTTCTTGTTGCTAGGAAAACATCAGGCTGGCCGTGTTTTTATTTCAACACTTTAAAATTCTTTTGCAGGATTGCCAATATCAAGGCCTGCTTCCTTGGCTCAGCACAAACAGAAATGGGCAAAGTTAGGCAAGAGATTCTTAGGTAAGTCTGTTGTGTTCCTTGTTGAGTGGCCATGTATGTACTTTTTGGAGCAAGGTTTGAACAAAAGTCGTGTCTGGTTGCCATATGTCAAATGCCAGTCAAAATTGACACAGATCGGTGAAATTCTTATTGATGTCCAGCAAATCCGTCTCTTGAGGTATATTTCCATACCCAGAAATAATTCAGCCCACAACTGTCAACAGCTTTTTCCCCTCATTATGCTAAATATCTGCTCCCATCAAAAGAAACATGTAGCATGTGGAAATCTACAGAAAAAAGGGATATTTTCATCAGGTTTTTGTTAAAAAAAAAACTCTTTCCCAACATGAAGAACTTTATTCATTACTTACTCTGGTGAAAGCACATGTAGCATCAGTCAAAGGTAGGACTGTTTCCCTGGTTTCCATAGCTAAATTGCATGAATGATAATAGAAGAGCCAGGAACCAGTCTTTTACACCAAACCTACAAAGCATGGTATTTCAACGATAATGAGTGTTGTGCAAACCTTGGAAACAGTTCAAACTATCAAAAGATTTGATGAATTTACAGTAACTAAGGGCAAAGTCACAAAATGTGTTTCTCTATTTTGTATGTCATTTTTTTATATTCGTTTCAAGGTCAGAATTGTTATCTTGCTAGCGATCCAGTGAAATGAAAATTTTCTTTGTGACTGTCACCTGGTGCATGCCGCATGGTACATGTACAGTGGGCAGCTCTTCACTGGGTTAACCACTTGCTGCTGTAGAGCAGGCACGTATTCTTTATATGCAAAGCAAGGGTCTCCGAAATCGGACAAAGGGAACTGGACCTTGTAACAAAAGACCATACTCCTAACAAAAGACCAGGCTGCTGGAAAGTAATCCAGCATTTTTTTGAAACAGTATGCCACTGTTTGGGGCATTCAGTGTGAGTGGATTACCACGGGAACAAATGCGCTCCACTACTGCAGCAGTGAGCCACACAGTACCGCTGCATGCTAATCTGGCCCCTATTGAAAAGAGGTCAGCAGTGCAGGGTGCCAGTTTTGTGAACAAAAGAAAATTACATCACACCGCACAATCTGGGCTCTCTTTACAAGGTGGCAGGCCTAGATGAAATACTCCAGTGTCAACAGATGTTGTCTGTCAGATTAGAGTAGAAACCAGACAGTCCTTCGTGTGGGTGTAAGTGTCCAGCACATGTAAATGAAGATATGAATTTTAAAGATTTTGGGAAAAAAGAAAAAAATGAAAATAATTCGGTCAAGCAGAATCAACATTTATAAATGCCCCCGGCAGGATGTGTTCAGGGGACAATTTCATTTGTTAGGTGTGGTACCGGTATCTTTGGAGCAGTACATGAAAGAGTCAGTGAACAATGGGGGCCATTTGCACAAGACACTCTCTGGCCATGTAAATTTCAGACCAAGAGAGGGTGCTCTTCAACAATAATACAAGTAAACATGGACCATTACATTAGCCAAATTAAGATCATGTTTTTGAGACATTTGTCAGTCATTTTCGGTACTCACAAAATACACGTACAGTAGGTGAAATATTGTGTGTTTTCCCCACAACTACGGTATAAGGTTGTGTGGGCAGGCATTCACCAATTTCAGGGGACAAATTCTTTTGTTGAACCGAGCTTTGGGACATTTCTGAACCCCCACAACCTTTCTTGTCCCCAGTGTCGAGTGTATGTCCCCACAACTATAGTGCGGGAGTAGGTGCACTTACACGTACATGGCCACCTACATGTGCACGCTGATACATGTACTGTATCATACCAGTGCACATGGGCATAAATCCCATGAGGTTGGGGGTATATCCCTCCCTTTTTTGAACAGGGAGATGGGCTATTGAATCATCTTCCCACCCTTTTTGTTGTGAGAAAAAAATTAAAGTAGATTGTGAAGAATTTTTCAGACTTACCAACAACCAAATTGTATTGAGTATCACTCTAAAAGGGAAAACAGTCAAACAAGCCATAAATATGCCTTTCTGATGGAAGATTGTACATGAATGTAATGCATATTACTGACGTACATGTACATGAACATCTGTATCATTAACATCGCCCCCCATATATAGTGTCATACGGTGTTGGTTGTCCTGGTCTCCCCCGTACATATACCATGTTGGCAGTTGTCCTTTCATGAGCATGGCAGAGCCAGTGCTTTGTTGGTGAATTTGAATTACATTTTGATTAAAATCACCATTGAAAGAGTCATAATATTTGTTGTGAGTGGCTGGCGCCGTTGAAATGGAAATGAAATCAGATGCAGAAAGATAAATCTTTTACAATTTATGATGTAATTCTTATGCCTGAATCCTGTCCAACTCAAGACACGTCACCAAGAAAATTCCTAATATCATCTAAATTGTCATAGACAATTGTCATAGTTATAGCTACCGGTACACTGGTCTGGAATCTGAATGTTCAGTAATTTAAAAAAAAAATCAATATTAGTTGTCATTGTAAAACAAAAATATCATGGCAGATTAAAGGGACGTTGAGACTACCTGAACACAGCATTTTACACAACAATTTTCGTCTTTGAGATCAGGGAAGCCATTCTTCTTCTAATTTTCTTTTGAATGACATCATATATGAATAATGCAGTATTAGGCTCAAACAAAGCTGTTGATTGGCTCAGAAAGTCATGGGAAAAACCACAAAAACATAAGCACTACCAAACACAATGTCGAAGAGCTTCATTCAAAGTGAAAAAAGAATCCAAGTATATGAGCACATTCTGCAGTTGGAATTAATCCATTTCGGCCAAAAGCAGTATATGTGACAGTTTTGAAACTGAAACTAGGTGGTATAGACTACCGAAGTGTGAAGTCATTTTGAACTAAAAGGTGTAGTGCCAATGTGTTGGTTCACTTGGGATGTGTGCACTTATGCAATTATGCGCAAGGCATATTTACTTTGATACTCTATAGGGAATCAAAATTAAAATGGAAGGTGGGCAGTTCCATGGTGTTGGACGTACATTTTGGACACCTCAACAGTGTGTGTTATTATTCTTATAATCCTGAAGCAGATTTTGATTTTGATGAAAGGCATAAGCTAGTTGGTACATTCATTTAATAACAGAATTTCTCACTCAGAATTATTATCCTTGTAGAAACTGACTCATAACACCATGGTGTTGGACGTACTCAGAGAAAGTTAATTTTTTGAGTTTCCATTTTTGTATCACAAACTCTGTGAAATGCTAGGACCTGAAGAAGTAGTTTTCCTGTGTTTAGTTTTAGCAGACCCTTGTTAATAAACTTCAAGGCAAGACACATTTTTATCTTGTTGTGACTTTCAGATAAAGCATTTATTATATTGGTATCGGACGTACATTTTTTGGTGTCGGACGTACACGTCCAAATTGACTTTTCAGAATAGAAGATAATCGGTTCAAATCCAAGCTTTTCTCATTTGTCTACCTTCATGAAGGCTTTAATAAACTTTCTAAACCAAAAGAAAATGTCAAGCCATACAAAAATCATCAAAAGCAACTAGAAAGGAATTGGATGATAGGGCATTCAATGAAACAGTATGAAGGAAAATATTGTCTAGAAATATTTATGCAAATTTTGCTCATTTAAACAAGTCATGTAGTGTCAAACATTCAAACTAGACAAGTTTTCTACAGTTGACAATCCTTTAGATAAATAAATCAAATAAAAAAAACAATTGCATACATGTGCCTGTAAGGTCTTGTGGTCTTAGAACATGAAATTAATTATTTTGTATGACAAATGTTGCGTGTGTATAAAGCTGCAATGTTAAAGATTTCTAGGTCACACTTAACAGGTTATAGTACCCATGTAAAATCCAAAAAGAAGCTAAATGAGTAGATGTTTATAAACCCTTTTAGATGATTGCAAAAGCAAAGGAATGGGCTGGCAATTAGGCTGAGAGATTAACCTTTTCACTGAAATTTAAGACTAATGGCATAATGATTTTAAAACTACAGTCTTACATTGTATGTTTCATGATAGGTACTGTACATGTACATGTATATACCATGGAAAGCGTATACAAGTGGAACACCCCCTTTAATTCCTCAAGCAACACAAAGTGAAACCAATTGATTTTACATGTACCTTGAACAAAGGTATTAAAAAACACACCTTTGTTTAGTCTTTGACAATTCGTCTTTCTTGATGTGGATTACATGTACATGTATGTACAACACCTAGAACTTTACTTGTCTTCATCAAAGCTCACACTGACATGACTTACTTCTGAATACATGCAAAGCACGTTTGTCCACACATGACACATGTGGAATGGCTTTGGGCCCTAATTATAATGTTATTGGGATGTGTATGTCCAAATAGTCAAATTTATGCAAATTAGTAAACAACAAAAGTAAAGCCTATTTGGTACTTTTACAAAATGTTTAGGCCTCATTTCCATGTTTGCAAATGAGGTGGTAGTGGTTTCTGTACAGTGTGAAAGCATTGCATTGCCAGCAGTGCATGTTTCTGACAGTGTCGGACGTACAGGGTGTCAGACGTACACATCTGATTCCACAATTTTTGAGTGTTTGAAAAAATAATTTGGGGAGTGCTGATGTCTAGAAAGAAGGAACTGATTGAGCTTTGTATTGTAGATTTGGCAGTCTTTTGGTGTTGGGCATACATAAAAAAAGTAAGTGTTGTAAAATAAGACATTACATAGAATTTCAAAAGGAAAATGAAAATTAATTTCTGTCAATGTTTGTTTATTGAGGCACTCTTCAAACTGTTACAAAACTGGAACAAAAACAGAAAATCTTTCAGAGGGGAAATATTTTCCCCAATTTCTCGGTATTTAAAGCCAATTTATCAGTATCATATAAAAGCCAAATTCGTGAATGTTGTTAGAAATGAAGTATGTTTTATGAAAGTATACACCATAAGCTTCAAAGTGATATATAATTTGTCACATTTGGACAAGTTTGAAATTTTGGCCCAAAGGTTGATGTTTCCGTGGAACCGCCCAGGTACTAATGACACTACATTGGACACCATTACACTAGAAGACGGTATTTTAATTAATGTCCATGACATAAAGTTTGAAACCCATTCTTTAAAGTGTTGAAGCATGCTTGTCAGCAGTCACACTTTGTGTTACTTCTCTTTGCAGTGGAGTATACCGAGTTGTTTACTTGACTCCAGAATTTGCATCTGTAGCAGGTGACATCTTGAAAGACTTACAACAAAGAGTTGGTAGGTATCAGTTTGACCAAAAAATTACACTATTATTATCTAACTTTTTATGGCAACATGTAGATTTCAGTAGTTTGTCTATCATTGATGGATTTTCTATAAATCTTCTGTTGGAAGTGATGACAGTGTTAACCACTTCCTGCCCTGGACTCCGGAATCGGAGATGTTTGGTCT